AAAAAAAAAAAACAACAAAGTAATAAGAAGTTAAAAAAAAAAATGTATCTCCTTCCCCATGGAAGCCTCACCATGTGACATACCTCCCACTTTGCTCACCCCCCTCACCTTATATATATTGGGTTTTGTTGATACAAAGCTATAGTAAGTGTGGTACACTTTCTGTGAATTCTTTGAGTCATTCCAGCAACATATAGAACCCAAAGGAGCCGAGGAAGCCTGACATGGAGGATGTTGTTGGAACCACTAAGTTTGTGGCCAGCCTCCCCTACCCATTGCCTACTGGCTAGGTATGAGAGAAAGGGGCTAGATCAACAGCTGGGGTTTGAACAGAATAGAAAAGGGAAGAAGAGATTTCCATAGAGCACAACAGGTGTAGAGTGATACGATCAACTAACATAATTTGGCACCAGAAATAATACCCATAGTCTCTCTGGACTGATGTGCACAGTTGGTGCCACGGACAGGATTCATCAGAGGATACTAAATGACCTATGATCTTTCTAAGATTTTCTCCACTTACATTACTGAATTTTCTGGTATATGTAAAACATGCTACATTTCAATTGTCTTCACATGTTGTTGTTAATCTTTCCCCGTGGTGGCCCCATTTACAAGGGGACAGAATTCTATTTATTGCCCTGTACTTTCCCTATGATTAGTTTTGACTTAAAGTATTCTATATAAGGAGCTCTGATGGCCTAGTAGTAAGAAGCTGCACTGCATTCCCAAAAGCACATGGTTCTAATCCACCAGTTCCCCCGTGGGAAAAGGATAACTGTTTCCTCCCATGTGATTGACTGCCTCTGGAAACCCACTGGAGGGTCAGCTATGAGTCGGTTCCAACTTGACTATACACAGGAACAATTATGATTCATATGGTTTTCAATGGCTAATTTTTGGAACTAGATCAACAGACATTTCTTCTTGGTCTTAGTCTGGAATCTGGAAGCTCCAGTGCCATAGTAAAATGCAGACTACTGCTGACAGATGGTGTCTGTGCATCAGATGCATTGAGAATAAAAACCAGTTCCCTTACCGAAAGTGAGAATTCTACCATTTAACCACCAGTGCCTTTGTAAATGTGCTTAGCAGTTTGACATGGCTGCTGCATCAGAGTGTGTGATAAGTTTTTCTCTATCATTGACTATACAGGTTACCCTTGAACTCCAAAACTATACAGTTTTGAACTGAACTGGCCCGTTTATATGAGATTTTATTGTTTCCTATTACTGTTGCCACCATAGCATAGGGAATTAATCCAAAGACTATGCCCATGGTGATTCAAGTCCACCAGCAGCTCCACAGGACAGGGATGGACTGTATACTCCCTTGCAATTTACAGCCTCAATACCCAGTGAAAAGCCAGCTGTGATTTGGTTCCAACTCAATTGCAGTAAGTTGCAGTGAGCTCAAGCGTTGCTAATCATCTTTGCCAGAGCAGTTCTCTGCAAGGGAGCTGTTCACCTAAATGTTAGCTCCGCACTGTGCTTTAAGTAGATACTGGATCAAAACACTTAAGCTTATTATTCAAGGGTAAGCCCTCACAGTTCAAACCTGGTGTTTTTCTCAGGTCAACTGTAAATTAGCCTCAGATTCTCAACTGTGTGGGGGGAGCATGCCCCTAGCCACTGCATTGTTAAAGGGTATTAAAAGGTAAAATAAGAGTAAATATAAATATAAAATAATAATAAGATTAAATAATAGTCTTTGAGTTCCTGGAGGGTTTTTGTTTACTGTTACCTGATTTTTCAACATAAATAGTTGAACCTCTAGAATCCAGATTTGCCCAGTGAATTTTATCATTTCTCATTGCATCTCAGTCTTATTTTCTCTGACCTGAGGTCTCTGGGGAAAGTCGTGAGCCTCTCAAGGAACTTTGGAGGAAGTCTCACCTTCTGGAGGAATCTGAAGTGTGTCTAGACCCTTTGTTGTGGCATTACTCTGTTAGGAGGTTTTTGTAATTCTCACTGAAAGTGTTCATGCATGTGTATGTATTATGTGTGTGTTTTTAGGGTCTGAGAATTTAAAATTTTGAGGTCCATTTAAATGACTGACAGAGAAGCTCTTAATGCATTTTTTAAACTTTATTTTATATTGGTTTATATACCTTGTGTTTCATTTATACATTGTGTTTCACATGATTGTTCTCATGTATTTTCTGAAATTAATTACAATTGACCTATGCCCACTATTACCTGATCTTTTCAGGCCCCCATTGGATTCTTCTTAATTCTTTCACCCCTCCTCCCTCTGTCTACAGAATTCTTTAGCTCTGTGATTTCCATGCTCCCCACTCTCAACCCCCAGCCTCCACCTTCTCCATTTGGACATTTATACACATCTTACTAGTAATCCTTCTATTTTTACAATAATATTGTTATATGGTGTTTGTCCTTATGAGACTGAGTTGTTCACTCAGCATAATGATCTCTAGACTCCCATGTTGCATAGTATTTTTCAAAATCATTGCTCCTGAGTGCTGCATATTATCCCATTGTGTGAATGTACATCAGTTTCTCAGTCCATTTGTTTGTTTGTTCATAGACTTTTGAGCACCGTTTCCATTTTCTTGCTATTGTGAATAATGTAGCTATGAAAATCGGTGTACAAATATCCATTTGTGACTCAGTTTTCTTTTCTTTGGGGTATATTCCTAGCAGTGGAGTAGTGGGTCATACGGAATGTTTATGTTCAGCTTTTTAAGGAAATTCTTTACAGAGTGGTTGTACCATTTTACAATCCCACCAACAGTGTACCAATCTTTCTCCATCCTTTACAACCTTTTTTGCTTTGTGTATTTTTCTTTTACTTACAGTAAGTATTGGTACTGCTAAGTGGTAAGACATTAACAATGCATTTTAACTTTTAAAACAAAACAAAACACAGAAGCCTAATTTTTAAAGTGATAAATTTACAGATGAAGTCATAGAACACTGTGAACGCCACAAAATGAAGTTACGTAGTAGCACAAATACAAATGTGGAATAGCTTAGTCATGTTCCGTTTGTGAACAGTAATCAAATTTCAGGAAAACTGCACTGACCATTGTATTTTGTAGTTCAGTGTCTAATATATACACATACAAAACCCCCAAACCCACTGCTGTCAAGTTGGTTCTGACACACAGAGGCCCCCCTCAGTCATGTTTCCATGGTCATAAATGTTTCCTGGAGGAAACTGCCCATTCCCCTCCCTCTGGGCAACTAGTGATTCAAACTCCCCACGTTTCGGTTAACAGCCCCATATATCACACCCTGTGCCACTACAGTATAGACATAGACAAGTAGCAATTCCATGATTTGGGCAAGAGTTCACACCCCCTTAAAAAGGGTCTGTACATTTATAAAATGTGTTTTAAAGGCTTAATTTATGTCCATATGCAAGTAAACTTTTACTGTCAAAAATTCATTGCTGTCAAGTCAGTTTGACTCATTGTGACCCTTCATCAGTGTTCTAAGGCTATAACTCGTAACAAGGAGACTCTGGTGGAGTAGTCTGTAGGTAGTTACACTGTTAACCCAAAGGAGGCTCCTTTCTGGCATTTCAGATCCACCAGCATCTGTGAGGGCTTAAAATGAGCAGTGTTCTCCTGTGCTACTCTCATCCTCAGAAGACCCACTGGGGGCTCAGCTATCAGTCAGTTCCTACTCAACAGCAATGAGATAATGATGAAATTGTCACAAGACACTGCCCATCTTTCTCCCTGGGAGAGCTTCATGAGAAGATAATGCTCATTCCCTTCACTCCTTGCCATAATCTAACAAGACATTTTCTAACCATACTATTCACTGAACTAGGTGACTTGAAGTTCTCTAAAACAAGGATCTTTTAAAATCAGAGTTCAGTTTGTCAATTTAACTTTATAGTTAATTATGGATGTCAAGCTGCTGTCAGAACTAATCAAAGCTGACTTTCCAGAGGGTGTTTAGAGGCTGTAAATCACATGGGAGAAGATTGTCCATCTTTCTCCTGTGAAGCAGTTCAATTTGAAACATGTGCCTTTGGATGAGCGGCTCCTTAACACTAGACCCTAGGACTCCCTTAACTGTATAGAGTAGTTGTTATTTAGGATCTTGTGATACCGCTTAAACTCTCATTGGCATAAAGTCAGAACTGCATCATAGCAGGCCCTTCACAGGAGGCTGTCAATTGCCTGGCAGAAGACTGCCCATTTTTCTCCTGGAGCTTGTGGTGGTTTCTAGCTACCACAAAGTGCTGCTTTTTACTACACCCCCAGAGCTCTGGAGGATTGAGTCAATTAATTATCAGATCTGCCTGTTAAGTGAGGCTTATATGTGTTTATTATGATCTGTCTTGCTACATACATATCTAGTGAATTAGGTACTTCCTAACATAAATCAGCCCATAAACCAGAGAAAATAAAGGGAGGATAAGTAGAAAATAATGTGTTTTTAGAAAGGGAAGCTATGAAAACCTGCTGCAGGATCAGCTATGAGCTGGTGGTTCTGACTTGGTCGCACAAAGCAACTACGGTATTGTAATGTGGAGAGCTCTGGTGGCCTAGTGGTAAGAAGCTGTGCTGTAATCCCAAAGGCACATGGTTCAAATCCACCTATTGCTTCATAGGAGAAGGATGAGCATTGTGCGCCCTTGTGATTTACTGTCCCTGAAAACTCGCTGGAGGGTCAGCTGTAATAAGTCTGAACTGACTCAACAGCACAAAACAACAGGGTAATTAATAGCAAGAATTATACTTATAAAAACAGTAGGCATATTTCAATACTTGTATGTACACTACTGTGTACCAAAAATTTATGGAGAAGAATTTATTTTGACACACTTACTGAGAAACTTCCTTCAAGTTGCTAAACCATTATATGCCAGAACTCTTAGATATTTCTTTTTTTCCTCTGTTAATGTTCTCTGAAAATACTGGCTATTAGAAGTAACACTGAAAAACAGTTACTTCAGATAGAGAATAAGAAGTTTTATGAGATTACTATTATTGACATATTGTTTTCATTTTATATTCTTCAGGTATTTTGATTTACACTGCATTTTGAAATTTATCTTCACTTACAATGCCACCAGCAATTGGAGGTCCAGTTGGATACACCCCCCCAGATGGAGGCTGGGGATGGGCAGTGGTTGTTGGAGCTTTCATTTCCATCGGCTTCTCTTACGCATTTCCCAAGTCTATTACTGTGTTCTTCAAAGAAATTGAGGGTATATTCAATGCCACTACCAGTGAAGTATCTTGGATATCCTCAATCATGTTGGCTGTTATGTATGCTGGAGGTAAGTAACCACTAAGGCCTGATTTTTTAATTGCCGTTAAATAACCAAGGGATCTCTTATTAAGTAACTGAACATTTGTTATCTCTGATCCAGTGAGATGTTTTGAAATCTTATTTCTGGAAGCTTTGTGTAACATTTAGAGTTAAATTTGTCATTGTCTTGACAATTCTTCCTTATGGAAGATCTTGCTGTTTGTTCCACTGTAATAATAATCTGAAACAGAAATGAGAAATTGTGATACCCTGATTTGATCCAGCTTAAGTATTTAGCTAAAAACTTTTAAATCGTAACATCAAAATAACCAGTTACTCTTTTTATTGCTGTCTGTTTGATACTGAATATAAATTTTCTTTTTTATTTATTAATTTTATTATTTGTGTGTGTACTGTTAAATCAGATCTGACTGGTACAGGAGGAGATTGTCCCTCTTTCCCCGGCGGAGCATCTTCTGGATTCGAACCATGTGCCTCTGGGATTGCAGTGTAGCTTCTTGCCACTAGGCCACCGGAGCTCCCCCTGAATATAAATATATTTTAAATACTATTGGAAGTACTAAAATAAATCAAGCTAAACGGAATAGCTTAAAGCTTCAGGCAAGAGCTTTTCATGGTATTAGACTTCTAGAATAGAGTAAACCCTCCCTTTATTCATTATTATGAGTCCAAAAGCCTTTCCGCTTACAGCCAAACAGTTAAGCTTTGTCATTTTTTATTCTCTCTTCTGTTTACCGTATTGTAAAGGAAATAAAGTAAGTTGTTTACATCATTTAAAATTGTTTCATTTTGGAACATCAAATCGCAGTTTAACTTATAAATGCCATAACACTTAAAAATGTATACTTGCTTAGCTACCAGAGATTCTAAAGTCAAATGTATTTATTTACTGAGACTAATGATGTGTCATGTTGACTATTTAGCCAACATTTACAGTGGGTTTTGGTGGAAATTTAGTACCTAGATTATTCTCATGTAGCTCTTTAATAGAATCCCACTTACCAATTACAAATTACTTAGCCCTGGACGGCAACACTTATGACAGATTCAGCCAGTATTTCTTGAGCCCAATGTATGATCGTGTTTAGCACTGTGTTAAATGCTGTGAGTGACTGAGAACACTGATCTTGATCCCAGCCTTTCTGTAGTTTATAGTAAAATAGGAATGAGTAATTGAAGTCATAAATGAATTAAGTACACGATTTAATTGCACAGAACAAACAGGTAACCTGGTTTCTTTGAAGAGAGAAACTGAGTAGTTAAGAAAGCGGATCGAATGAAGACTTTTTCCCCTCCACTGTGTAGCTTTATTTTTTGCTTTTAAAGTTGAAACAGATACTTGTTTTGTGAAATTCATACTTTTTTTGAAGAACCTAAAAGTTAGAATTTATTTATACACACATATAATATACATACATACACTCAAAAAATTCTCACTGCTATCGAGTCAGAAGCAGCTCACCACTGACCTCCAACAAGTTTGCAGAGACTGTAAATTGCACAGGAAGACATTCTACCCATCCTTCCTCAGAACAGCTGGTGGATTCAAACCACCTGCTTTTGAATTGGCAGAGCAGCTCCTCACCACTGGGCCACCAGAATTGTATGTGTATGTATGTACACACGCACACATTTAAAAAACTATTTTGACGATAACTAGTTTTCGAGAGCCAGTGATTTGGGGGGCTATCCAGAGGCTATGTATCTTTAAACTGACTGAAAATCAGAGGTTTACATGCTGAAATTTATTGCTGCTATAGTGTGAGAACCTCTTGAGTTTTGCCTCAAAAGTAAGTGATGTCAGTTGTGCTAATTGCACATGACATTTTCTTTTGGGGAAACAGTTCCTTTTTTGTCCTTACCCATTGAGATACTAAGAAAACTAGTACATTTCTCTGCATTTGTTATGTTATTGTTGTTAAGTGCTGTACAACTCAGAGCGCCCCTATGAACAACAGATCTGAACTCTATCCTATCCTGCACCTCCTTATCATCCCTGACACATTTAAGGATTTGTTATAATCGGCCTATAAATTGGACCTATTTCTATTTTTAATGAGAGCTAATTGGGGTCATCCTTCCTGAAATAACTCTGAAAGACAAAATGCCTGTTACAAATCTTTGTGGCAGATTTTTATAAAGTGAGTGATTTTATTTTGATTGGCTTCTAAATGTTAAGTCTCTTAAGAAGTGCCACTTCCACAGCTGTAACCCTCCATGTACACTAGAGCTATACCCTAAACATGAATATGTTGCTTCTGTTTTCTTTATTGTTTGTTGATTTGTTTTGTCATTAATAACTTGGGTCTGATATAGATGCTAATCCTCATTAGAGTGTAAATTCCTTTTTTTTTGTAGGATTATCAGAGGAGATAAAATCTTTGAGTGGTATAAAACGTTAATTTACTCAGCTTTGAACTTAAAGGTTAAAGGTTTGAGTCCATTTAAAGAACCCTTGAAAAAAGCCCTGACATCTACTTCATACTGACCAGTTAGTGGAAAATCCCATGGACTCGGCATAATACACTACAACAGAACAAAGAACGGGACCTTCTCATTAGATGCAGAAAAGGCATTCAGGAAAATACAGCGTCTTTTCTTGATTAGAAACTCAGAAAAAGAAGACTAAAAGATAAATTCTTCATCATGATTAAGAGCATTTATGAAAAGCTAACACCTAACATTATACTCAATGGTGAAAACTATGGAATGGGAGTTTTACTTGCGGTCAACTGGTTTGGTTTTGTTTATTGGGAGAGTAAGTTAGTTGCTTATTTTTTTGTTCACATTTGAGTTTTTTGAGTCTGGATTTTTTTTTAACATGAAAGTATAAATTGATGTATGTTTTTTGTTCCATAGCAGTATATTATAACACTTTTGGTTTAAAATTTCACACTGCAAATTTTATAGCATTAACTTCCACTTTTTTAGTCTACAGTATCGCATTACTTTGACCTTGTAATTCTGATTTCTTTTTTACCAACATCTGTCTTGCTGGAGTTTTCAGAGGCTTTAAAGCATATTTTTCATTGTATAAATACCATCATTGTATGCAAGGAATCATTTAATTCTAGGACACATGTTCAATTCAATGCCAGAAACATCTCGATATAATTATGATCCCTTTTATCTCTCAGGTCCAATCAGCAGTATCCTGGTGAATAAATATGGCAGTCGCCCAATCATGATTCTTGGTGGCTGCCTGTCAGGCTGTGGATTGGTTGCAGCTTCTTTCTGTAACACTGTAAAGGAACTTTATGTGTGTGTTGGAGTCATTGGAGGTGAGTTGCTACTGATTTGTTTGCAGTCATTAATTTATTACTTCTATTTCATCTGTCAGACATTTTGCATGGAATTACCTTCTTAGAGAAATTATTGGCTTATTGAAGAACAACTTAACTCTTTGTTGTGGGGTCAGACTGACTCATAACTGACTAACCCTCTAGTAGGTTTTTAGAGGCTTTAAATTGTATAGGAGGAGATTACCCATTCTTTTCCAAGGAGCAGCTGGTAAATTCACACCACCTACCTTTGGGTTGGGTAGGCCACCTGAGAGAGTTACAGGTAAATTCAAACAAAGTTCATTGTATGTTGTATGAATGAGTTGAAAAGAAAGTTATCCTACAAATAGGCAGTGGTTATAGATAAAAAGTATTCATAAAATAATTATTGTTAACATTTTGATGGATATCCTTCCATTTTATGTTTGTAAAAACACACATATAACCTTTTTTTAAAAAAAAATCCAAAGGAGTCAGGTTATATTTATTTGTTGTTGGGTGTTTTTTGTTTTGTTTTCCAGGATATGTTTTATATATATATGTTGGGGCTTTGTGTGTATTTATATAATTTTTTTTCCCACAAAATGCCTGTTGACAATTTTTATATGTTCTTTTTTTATTGATAGAAGAATAATGTATAATAACTGCATATACTGTTATCTTTTTGCATGAGATGCAGTTCTTTTTCCCATTAGGAAGTCATTAAATGTTCTCCTGAGATAGCGTGAATGCCAGGCATTCCTATCCTAGTTAAGAAGATTAAGAAAAAAACAAAAAGCCTCTCCTTTCCATTAGGTTTCCAAGGCTATAAATCTTAAAGGGGAGGAGACTACTCATGTTTCTCCCTCAGAGCTGCCATTCGATTTGAACTGAAGGTACTCAGCTTCTTAGTGCAACACACTATGGGCTGTACCACCACATGGTCACTTAATAAGTTAGAACATGGGGCTTGTTAGCAATGTTTAGCTACAAAGAAAACAAAATGACATTTGAAAGAGCCCTGTTAGCATAAAATGTAACTACCAACTATGGCTGCCACTTTCCTTCAATGGAATCTTTGCCACTCCCCTCCCCAGAGGTCAGGCCAATAATGTGAGTCTTTTTCTTTCACCAGCTCCCACCTTCACATGAGTCCCATCTTTACTCTGTCAGGTATATCCCAAAACCCTCCAAAAATAACAAACATTCCAGTTACTAGAAATTTCCAAGAGATTAGAATTTACATCTCTGCTGGCTTAGTGGTAAGGAGTTTCACTACCAATCCAAAGGCCCTTGATTCATATCCACAAGCTGATTTGAGGGAGAAAGTCTTCTCTCAGTGATTTACCTCTGGAAAACCTATTGGGAGGTCAGCTATGAATCAGTTCAACTCTGTGGTGCATACCAACAGTTCCTTAGATAAAATAGGTTAAGTGTTGGATTGCTAACTGAAAGGTCAACAGTTTGAACTCAGAGGGAGAAAGATAAGACAGTTGTTTCCTTCTAATATTTATAATGTCAGAAACTCAATGGAGGAAGCAACCTGACAGCAATGAATTTTTAAAACTAAAAATTCATAGAATTCTTTTTCTGTTTATAAGAATGTTCATATAATGGAAGAAAATGTGAATATTTGTGACTTTTTGGTTTTGGTAACAAGTTAAAATATAAAGTGGTTTTCAAAACATCATTTGTTTCGTGTATTTTGATAAACATTAGTACCAGCTTCCATTTCCAAACAGCAGTAACACAGTTTGTGGAATTGGAAGAAAAAAATTCTGTGATTGTTGACAGGAATTATGTTATAAATGCAAAGAAGATTAAATATGAGAAAAAAATTTTCTAAAAGAATAAAATATACTTTAAAGTCATTCTACCCAGGGCTTTTAACCAATCCATTCCTGTTGTTAGATCCTTGCTGAGAATTTTCATTTCCACCTCAGAAAGTGAACAAGAATCTTACCAGATCCCTAGCTAAACTTAGGTATAGAGAAGAATCACCTGGAATTCTAATTAAACTGTCGATTCTGACTCATTCTACTGGGGATGGAAATGAGAATTCTTAGAGGTGGGGCGGATAGACAGTCTAGATCCAGAATGCACCATTTTGATGCTCTACTCCTAAAATAGAATCTACTGGTATTTTTATTGGAGTCACATTAATACATTAATTTGGAGATTATTGACATCTCTGTAGTGCTCTATTTTATTATCCCGTTAACATTGTGTATGTGTTTCATTTTTAATTCTCTGGCCTTTCAGGAAAGTGTCATGATTTTAGCTACATAATTTGCACATTTTAAAATAACTGAGGTTATAATGACAGGAATAATTTACTATTGCACTTATTTATAATTTACTAACCCTCTACTTGGTGATCATCTGCTTATAATAGTCTTTCAGGTAATTTTCCTATGTTTGTCAGTTTTCAAGTATTCACCTTCAAATAGTACAAACAATTCCTGATAGCTCATAGTGATTGAACATTTACTACCTCCCAGGCACTGGTCTGAGTGCTTGATGAAATCACTGGTAGCACAGTGGTCAGGTACCCCACTTTTAACCTGTCAGTGGTTTGAACCCACCAGGGACTCCTTGGGAGAAGAGATGGAAATGCTGTGGGGAGGTTCTGCTCTGTCCCGCGGGTAATACTAGTGTTGACATCAACGTGATGGCAGTGGGATTGTGTCTCGTGGTCCAATGATTCATTCTAACCAGAAGGTCAATTGCTTGAACCCACCAGCATCTCAGGAGAAAGATGAAGCAGTTGGCTTCCATAATAAAGACTGCGAGGCAAAGGAACAGTTGTGGTTTGTCCTGTGGGGTCACCCTGAGTCAGGATGGGTTTGCTTTTGCTTCACATTTCAGAGTTTACTTTTTTTAAGAGCTTGTATTTTTTTTTTTTCTTATGAAAGAGCTTGTATTTTTAAACTGCGATACAGTGTGGCACATAAAGATGACTCTTGTCTCTTTTCCATTATTTATACCTCTTCTTTTAGATTAGTTGTTTTTTGTTTTTGTTTTTGTTTTTTGTCAAAGTTGATTCCTCTGTTCATCTATTACAGTTGATTATTTTCTCCTCCGCAGGCCTTGGACTTGCCTTCAACTTGAATCCAGCTCTGACCATGATTGGCAAGTATTTCTACAAGAAACGACCACTGGCTAATGGACTGGCCATGGCAGGCAGCCCTGTGTTCCTCTCTACCCTGGCTCCCCTCAATCAGGCTTTCTTTGGTATCTTTGGCTGGAGAGGAAGTTTTCTAATTCTTGGCGGCTTACTACTAAACTGCTGCGTAGCTGGATCTCTGATGCGACCCATAGGGCCCACACCAACTAAGGAAAAGAAAACTAAGTCTAAAGAATCCCTTCAGGAAGCTGGGAAATCTGATGGGAAAAAAAGTGCAGGTGATGCGAATACAGATCTTATTGGAGGAAGCCCTAAACAGGAGAAACAATCATTCTTCCAAACAATTAACAAGTTCCTTGACTTATCCCTTTTTAGTCACAGAGGCTTTTTGCTTTACCTCTCTGGTAATGTGCTTATGTTTTTTGGATTATTTACACCTTTGGTCTTTCTCAGTAATTATGGCAAGAGTAAGCATTACTCTAGTGAGAAGTCAGCCTTCCTTCTTTCCATTCTGGCTTTTGTTGACATGGTTGCCAGACCTTCCATGGGACTTGTAGCCAACACAAAGTGGATAAGGCCCCGTGTTCAGTATTTCTTTGCAGCTTCTGTAATTGCAAATGGAGTGTGTCATATGCTAGCACCTCTGGCCAACAACTACATTGAATTCTGCATCTATGCGGGATTCTTTGGCTTTGCATTTGGATGGCTCAGCTCAGTATTGTTTGAAACACTGATGGACCTCATTGGACCCCAGAGGTTCTCTAGCGCCGTGGGACTGGTGACCATAGTGGAATGCTGTCCTGTCCTCCTGGGACCACCAATTTTAGGTACAGTATATACCCCTTTCTCTGTGGTTCTTTTATCATTTAATAGGTATTCAGGATTGAGGAGGTTAGAGAAAACCAGAAATCCGTAAACTACTTGATAGCTGAGAGCAAATTTCGTATCTTCCTGTGGTTGTGGCACAATATTTGGTACAGTGTAACCATTCAACTTCTTACAGAATCTGCTTCAGTTGAACCAACAAGTCAAAGGGATTTCAAATATTACAAAATTCTTGCTTTTAAAGCAGTTTTTCTCTTCATAAAATTAATATTCTTAAAAGAGCTCTTGTAGACTAATAAGTAAGAAGTTGTGCTGCCGACCCCAAAGATGGGACGTTCAAACCTCCCAGCTTCTCTATGGGAGAAAGATGGGCAATTTCCTCCTGTGAGATTTACAGCTTGGGAAACCCACTGGAGGGTCAGCTGTGAGTTGATTTCAACTCTGTGTCACTGAACAACAACAAAAATGTGTAAAAAATGACTACCTTTAAAGTACTGATGATGATTTAATGATAGTTTACCTCAGTGGTAGTAAAATGATAACAATAGCTGTTACCTGAAGTTCACAGTGTATCAGTGACTGATTTATTTTTTACATGCCCTTAAGTTTTTCACCCATAATCATGTGACAGAGTAAAACCACACCACAGAGTTTTCTAGACTGGTGGCACAGTGGGTAAGCATTCAGTGGTCAACAGAAAAGTGTGTGACTCACACCCACCAGTGGCTCTGGAGGATAAATAAAAATCTATAAAGTTTATAGCCCAAGAGATCCTATCGGGAAGGTCGGCTTTGTCATAGAGTAAGTGTGAGTCAGAATTGCCTCAAAAGCACACAGCAGTTGCTAAGCCTTTCCCTTCGAGGGTATTTGGTAGGTCAAACTGCCAGCCTTTCCATTAGCAGCTAAGCACCTTCCAAAAGTACTATGCAGGGCCTGTGCCACCAGGGCTCCTTGGGACTTCTGTAGCCACTTAGGTAGCCTGTTACATTGTCACCAGCTGATGAGTATGAATTAGAATCTCTAATGAAATCAGAGACCTTTGTAAAGATAAAATAATTTGCCCAAGATCACATGGTTAGTAAGTGCATATATAATTTGGGGACTATTCTCTAAAGAAAGGTACCAAGTACTTCACATTCTATAGCTCAGTATATAACATAAATTTGACACTCCTTGTGGACTTGATTTATGATTTGGGGAGTAAATAAGGACACACCAAAGACTCAAACCTTTCTTTTTTCTTTTGTTTTTTTCTACTTTTCATTGTAGTTTGGGTGAAAGTTTACAAAGCAAATTCATTTTTCATTCAACAGTTTATCTACATTTTAGTTGCCAGCATTGGTTTCAGTCCTCATAATGTAACAGTGCTCTCTCTTCCCTTCCTCCCTCTTCCTTGTTCTTATTCGTCCTTCTTTCCTGCTCCTTCCTGACTCCTCAACTTGATTTTTGTGCCAACGTTGCCTTCTTGGTGTTATTTGGTTTATGTTCTGATGAGTATGTTCCTCTCTGATGATTATGTTCCTCTCTGATGCTCTTATTCCATTTAGAGCCCTATCTGTTGTTTGACTGAAAGTTGATCTCTAGGGGTGGTTTAACTTCTAGGCTTAAAGGCTTTTGCCAGTCTTTGTCCAATAAGTCAGGGTGTTTCATGATCTTACAACCTAAATTCTTAACAAATAAATGGATAATTAAACTATGGTACATATACACATTTAGTGGAATACCTGAACACTAAAAGCATACCAAAAGAATCTATGAAACTTCTCATAACATAATTAACCTAAATGAAGTTACACTGAGTAAAATAGTAGGTTAATCATAAAAGGATAGATATTGTATGAGACTACTACTACCAAAAGTCAAGAAAAGGTTTATGCATAGAAACATTCTTTGATGATTACTAAGGAGGGGAGCGCAGGGGAAATCATTAACTAGAGAATAAACACGAATGAACTTGGGTGAAAGGGAAGGGAATATACAATAAGGGAGAAGTCAGAACAACATGACTAAGGCAAAGAAAAACACTGGGTGCTACATGAGAATAAAGACCACAAAGATAAACACTATTAGATACACAATCCTACAAAAACAGTAGTAACAAGCAATGACCTATGAGTAGATAACATAGATATACATGCAAACTGAATGGTTGCAGGAAGGTAAATGAGAGTTCCTCTACAAATCTATATGTGACAGCCTATTTTTACACATGGATTTATTTGTATGTGCCAACATTGTCTTTTTTTTTTAATTTTTTTATTGTATTTTTTTTTATTATTATTTACCAACATTGTCTTTTGATGCCTTGTTTCTTCTTTCCCATACCTAGTGGCCAAGTCCTGACATTTTTACCTCCTAAATTTCTAACATGTCTACTTTTTCTCTTTTCCAGCTACCATCTTTATCCAAAGCCTCCATCTCTTATCTGAACTGTTCTAGGAATCTAATTCATCTATCTTTATCCACTCAAACTTGCTCCTTTCCATCAAGTCAGAACTGATTCATAGCTGTCCCTCCAGGATGGGGAGGAAATTGCCCATCTTTCTCCTGTGGAGCAGCTGATGAATTCAAACTGCAAGAGAGGCCTTCTAGATTGTGCCACCAAAGCTCACCTCCACCCAAAACTGATAGCAAAATTGTCTTTGCTAATCAGATTTGCCAATTGATTGACACCCTCCAGTGTTTTCCCATTGCTGCTGTTGTGTGCTGTCGAATCAGAACTCATAGCTGACCTGATTTAGAAAACACTATGAAATAATTTTTAATTGATTACCTAACTTCCGTGTCAAGTCCTGGGTGCAGAATTTTGAGATTTTATTCCTTGAAATCCTGCTTAATGTTGTGTGTGTGTAGGTGCTATGGAGTAGGAACTGCTGAGAGCTGGCCCTCCAGCAGGTTTGCAAACTACATGGGAGGAAATTGCCCATCTCACTCCAGCATCCTGCCTTTGAGTTGGCAGCACATTTCCTTACCCACTAGGCTACTTCATAATTTGAAGAGATGCTAATAAAATTTACTGTAAGAAAAGTTTCATAGCCAAAAGAAAAGTTTAAAAACATCCCATTAAATAAATTTCTTTACTATAGGACCTTGCACACATTTTAACGTACTAATGTACATTGTAGATCTTTAAAATAATACAGTATGCCACTTCCCAGATTTACCTGAACTTTGAAATGTTAGAGAGGTATCCTGTACAGTGATAAGGATACAGGCTTGAGTTAAGCTTTCTAGATTTAAAACAGGAAAGTTTATACTGGTTACTTCCTCACTTTGTGACCTTGGGCAAAATTACTTCAATTTTTGTGCTTCATTTTTTATAGCTGTCTGTTGTTAGCATTAAACATTTAGAATAGTGGAAAACTATTAGTGTTGGTTAATTTTTAAGCAAAGGTCAAGTGTTGATAGGAATATGCTTTGGGATCTGCTGATGTCTGAAAAAGAGCTTTGACCCACAGCAAGGAAATACCTCTTAAACCTCCCCCACCCACCCCCCTTTGTGTAATGAGAGACTTGATTTTTGGTGATCTCTAGGTCTTTCTGAATACAAATTTGCCAAGGTTTAATTTAATTATTGTCCAGCTTTTAAAAATAGCAAGGTACTCAAGGCCATCCAGAATCAGTGTGACATTATAAATAGGATTGGATCATTTTTAGCAATTCCTTTTTAGACTAACTTGTCATTTGTGGACTCTTCTTTTTTTTTTATTTTATTAAATTTTATTAGTTTTAATGAACATTTACAGGGATTTTGGGTTTTCATTCCTTCATTACTGCACCATTTTCTCTACCCTCCTCCCCAGTTTGTTCTTCTTCCCCGCCATCCGA